TCAAAATATCGCCATCTTGTAACACTCCAGTGAATTAGTAGATCTAGGTAAAAATTTTCAACGATAATCTAGGTATTATGTGGTTCGCAGTAGAAGCATGCCATCTTCAATAAAGCATTGCCCCCAAAAATGAAATATGAATTTGATCAAACCTCTAGATATAACTTCTAATTTATAGGAAAAACAGTAGAGGGAAATGTTAAACATCACTGAAGTTAAAAGCCAGAAACTCTGGGAGGCTGAGGTGAGAGGATTGCCTGAGCCCAAGGGTTTGAGATCAACCTGGGCAACTTGGTGAGTCCTCTCTACAATAAATCAAAAGATTAGCCCAGCATAGTAGCACACACCTGTAGTTCCAGCTACTTGGAAGGCTGAGGTGGAAGGATCGCCTAAGCCCAGCAGGTCAAGGCTGTTGTGGCTGAGAGCATGCCACTGCACTCCAGCCTGGGCAACAGAGTGAGATTAAGACTCAAAAAAAAAAGGTCAGAAGCTCTCTAGAACAAATAATTTGATTTCTTCACAAATAATTGCAATAGAAAAATAAAAGGAGGTGAGATTAGGGGAACAAGCTGATTAAAAAATACCTGAGAGGGATAGCCACCAGTCATAATATGTGAACCTTATATGATTTGCACAAACTGCAATATTCCTTTGTAATTCTGTATGTTCTTAAAGTTTATCTCAGTAAATACAAAGAATTGTGTTATAAAGTCACTTGAAATAAGTTATTTATCTGTGTGGTTGTTATCAATTTGATAAATATTTAAGTCAATTTATTTCATTTTATTACACATTTCAGCGCTTTTACGTTTTAATTCAATTTTCTTTAAGTGAGAAAGCAGGATTTATTGAGAGGGCAGAGAAATTCCCACAGTGGGAGGGGACCCAAAGGGGTTGCCCTTAAATTTAATTTTCAATATGTATTGTGTATACATGAATCAAAAGTCAAAATTATACTGAAAGCTATGCAAAGAGAAGTCTTGCTGCCCCCCAAACTCCATTTTCTTCAGGTATAGGTAACTATTTTGTTAATTTCCTGCTTATCTCTTAGATATTTCATTTTCAAATACATATAAATATGTGTGTGCATGTATATATCAGTGTATGTTCATGATTTAAATTTTATTATACAATATAACAGAGAAAATGCATAAAACAGTTTAACACGTGGTTGTAAAATGCTAACCCATATATTTCCCACCCAAATAAGGAACAAGACCCTCACTCCAGAAGCCTCCTTGCTGCTCCCTAGTTATATTTTCCTCTTTCTGTCTCTCCTCACATACCTATTATTCTAAATGTCCATGCCCTTGTTTTACTAAATAGTTTTTCTACCTTATTAGACATTCTTAAACAATATATGTGATTGCCTGATTTTGAACTTTATGTAAATGGTAACTACACTATGAATTCTGTTGAGTCTGGCTTCTTCTTCAATATTGTATATTTTAGATCCATCCATACTCTTCCATGTAATTGTGGCTCACCCATTTTCACTCTTTTTTTTTTTTTTTTGACCCCTCCGTTCCACATCCCTGTAGTAATCCCCTCCAGTTCACCCATCTTCAATATGTCCCTCAGGATGCACCATTTTCATTCTTATGTGGTATTTTATTATATGATTATATCATGCTAAAGTGCTACTATAAATATCTTGTTATTTTACAATCCACATGACCATGCATTTCTGTGGGGTGTGCACCTGGTGATGGCTTTGCTGGTCACAGAGGAGGTGTGAGGCAGGGAGCCCTTCCCCCATGTCTTATAAGATAAATGCCTTTCCAGAATAATGAAAGAGTTCTTCCAGCACCATAAGATAAGAACTTTCTTAGATGATATATATTAGAAAGAAATGTGGCCCCAATCAATAATGCACAAGTGTAACTCTGCTGTAAACTTGAGCTATGAAATACCCAATTAACCAGTATTTTACTAATAAGCAAGGCTTATCGGGGGACAAGGAAGCTAAAAATGTATAAAAAACAATTCCGCCTTACACTCGGGGCTCAGCCTTTGTCTGCAAATCCACTGAGTCGGTGCCGGCATGAATAAATGCTGTTTCCTGGCAAAGTGGCCTCAGTGTCCTGTCTCTGTAGAGATTTCTGCTACAAAAGAAATGAGGAAGGAAGGGACAGAGAGAAAAGAAGCAAGAGAACTAGAGAGAGAAACAATTAGAAATGAGAGAGAAGGGGAGGAGGAGGGGAGAGAGAGAGAGGAGGGAAAGGGGGAGAGGGAGGAGAGAGAGAATACATTGAGTATGAGAAATAAATGAAGAGACATCACTACAGATTCTATAGATGTTAAAGAATGATTAGAGAAAGCAAGAGAGTTGAGGTCAGAGATTTTGCTAAATATCAGAAAACACACAGGACAACTCCACAACCACAAATACTCCAACCCAAAATGTCAACATAGTCATGGTTGAGAAGCCTGACCTGATAAATGATACATCATTTTTTTCTTGTTGCTTTAAAGATTTTCTCTTTACCTTTGTCTTCTATTAGTTTGCCTGGGATAATAACCAGATGTAGTATTATTTGCATTTAGTCTACTCAGGGTTTTTAAGCTGTGGGATTAGTAGTATACCATTTTTCAGAAAATAGAGAAGTTTTCAGCTGATACATTTTAATTACTTTCTATGTTACTCCTTTCTCTGTGTACTCCTTCCCAGACTTCAGTTACATGTATGATGAAATTCTTGATATTGGTTCACATCTTCTTTTTTAGTCTTTAATAATTGTGGCAAAATATATGTAATATAAAAATTTACATCTCACATTTTAAGTATACAATTCAATGGTATCTTGTACGTTCATATTTTTGCAACCATCACCACCATTCATCTTCAGAAATATTTTAATATTGCAAAACTGAAACTTTATACTGACTGTTAAACAAAAATTTCACCATCATTTTGCCACAACCCTTCTAAATGCTGTGAATAAATTTGACTGCCCTGGATGCCTCATCTAAACAGAATCATATTTTATGGCTCGTCCTGACTGATGACCATCCAGGTGAATGCTTCCTTATATTCAGCACAAATATCAGAAGCCAGAGAGTCTTGAACAAGAGAAGAACTCACAGCTGTGGTTGGGCAACAATGTTAGGTCGCACCCTGCCTGATTCTGAGTCACCCTGTCCTTTCCCTGGCTGGATTAGCAGAGTGGTTCTGTACTGTGGAGTGTCTCAGGGTGGAGCCAGAATGGTGAACTTCACTGCAAATCCCTGGGCTCTAAAAACACTGAACAAGAAAAAGAGGTCAAGCCTTATAGAAGGGTGAATTCAAAATGAAGCAACTTAGCTACAGAACAGCCATGTTAACATCACTTAAACTTTGTCATACTTTGCTAGCTGTCTGTCCCACTTCCGACTTTAGCAAAGAACAGAAACAGCTTTCTGGAGGTAGTTATTGATCATTGTATTCTAACTCTCAAGTACATCTTGCACTGATTACTCCTCTATTTTAGGCCTTTGTTTACCAGCTATACAGGATCAAGTTGACCTAATAGCAATCTGTCTTTTGTGACTGCCCACCAGTCCACCAGAGACTGAAGGTCCTGGAGTCATAAGGCAGAGAAGTTGAAACATTCTGTTTCCAACTTCAGGTGTTGCCATAACAATGCCAAGGACTGGTTGCCCAACAATGCTGAGGGCACAACACTGGTGTTATTAATACTCAGGAATGCAACTGCTGGAGATTTTTTGATTAAAACTCTAAAAGTTCTTCTTCCTCAACCACCCCTCACAGCACTGCATCTTAGTGCTGGTTGCATTTAGATATGTTCTAAATGTGAATAAACTCTCTTGCTTTATCTTTGCAAATATTTGCTTTATTCCCACAGTGCTGGCCCACACTGCCTCAGTTTGCCCTAACACTTTGAATTGCCAGAAATACTGAGCTTCTTTTTGCCATTGAGGAGGAGTCTGCTGATGACCTTGTACAGGGCATGCAGATCAGTGAACACCAGATCCAGCCACTGGGGCCTTGGGTTCCATGACACCCCTATAGAGACAGGATGTGGAAAACATCTCCATGTGGGAGGGTAAAAGACAGGTTTGTTTCAACACAGATGACTCTTACCTTACTGAGTTGTAAATGAGAGTTGGCAAGGAGAGCTTTACCACTATCCCAACAGAATATGGCAGAGCTACTTTCTGTGCAAAAATTCACATAGAAAAAATGGTGAGAGTAACAAGCACCCAAAGTCAACCCTGTGAGTGTGCTGGGAGTCCTAACATGCTTTCCTCTGATTCTTAATAGAAGAATTCCCACCCCAGGAAATGAATATAAATGCAAGTCCAGGCTGAGGAATGTTTTGGGATTATCAACTAGAGGCAAATCAATCTGTTGGACTTGATGTCTTCCAATATTGAAGCCAGTTGGTGTTCTCAGAAAGAACATAAATCCTGGTCATGATTGACTCAAAATAAATAAATGGAAAAAATATTAGAGATCGATCTTCATGAGAAAGTCAAGAAGATGACAAACCAGAGACTACTCCCCAAATTGTGAAGTTAGATAAGATTATCCAGAAAACACCAGCAAATGATACTGTATAAATGATTAAATGCAAGGCTATTTAATTTAATCAGCTGAATATAATATATACAAAATATTTTCCACCCTACCTCCCAACTTGCTTTTTTCACTTTTCAATCCTGATCCTGTATGACTCATCTAATTACAACAAAAACATTTTAAAAGAAAAAATTGAATCTCACTTTATATATGTTGTGAGATATGAAAAAAGATTTTAACCATTTATTTATTTTTTTTATATTATATTTTGGAACTAACAAAAAAAGCAGTACTTTCATTGATTGATTTATCATCAGGCAACAGTTTTAGGGTTTCTTTAACAAATTTATAAATAAGAATGTTCACATTTTGGAGAAAATTCCTTTGTAAAGCTGTGTGGTCTGGTGAGAGTGATTTTAGTGAAGACTTCTAAATAGGTTGAATTAACTTTCCTCGTTGAAATGTGAGATCTGGACACTGTCCCAGCTGCCACCTAGACTCGGAGCTCCATCCAAATCCCCAGTGAAGACATCCCAGCCATGGTCATGCAGAAAATCTTTGCCTGGGAGATCCTGGATTGCAGGGGCAATCCCACAGTGGAGGTGACCTGCACATGGGCAAGGGCCGATTCTGGGCAGCTGTGTCCAGTAGGGCTTCCACTGGTATCTACGGAGCTGTGGAACTAAGAGATGGAGATAAAGCTCGCTACTTGGGGAAAGAAGTTCTGAAAGCTGTAGAACACATCAACAAGACTCTAGGCGCCGCCCTGCTGGAAAAGAAATTAAGCCTTGTGGATCAAGAAAAAGTTGACAAATTTATGATTGAGGAGGATGGGACCAAGAATATGTCCAAGTTTGGGGTCAATGGCATCCTGGGCATGACCTTGACCATGTATAAAGCTGGAGCAACTGAGAAAGGGGTGCCACTATACTGACACATTGCAGATCTTGCTGGGAACCCTGACCATGTAAAGTAAGCTAAATCAGTTAATAAAATCAAATTGCTAGCAAAGAAATAATATTAACCATCTTACTCCATTTTGTTTAAAACTTTCATCTTAGTTACCTGCCTGACCTAAGAATCAATGCCTACGTGTGATTACAGTAATGTTCCCATGACCACAGGCCTCCAGCTTTGTCTCCTTTGGGCAGGTTATGCTGACCGTTGCCTGCTGACCATTACAGAACTCCTTTTGCCATAGCTTCCATGTAATTGTATGCTTTGTTAACTAAAATCAAATGTTATGCTTTGATATTTTCATAGTTTGTTCTTATATTCTGTTAGTGACCTAACCAAGGTAACTCCACTGTATAATGATTCTTCTTCCTTGTTTCTATGTAACTACCTTAAACTATATCTTAATGGCAGAACTCCAGGGGTTTTCTGTTAGTGACTTAACCAAGGTAACTCCACTGTATAATGATTCTTCTTCCTTGTCTCTATGTAACTACCTTAAACTATATCTTAATGGCAGAACTCCAGGGACTTTCTGAACTCCAGGCCCAAGGATTATTAATTCCACACAGGATAAATAACAAAACAACCTGGGTTTATCAGTTGTTGTAAAAGTATAACTTGCCAGTGTTTACCTGTTTTAAGTTCTCAATTTGGGCTACAACCTACCTGACATGAAATTAATCAAAACTCCCTAACAATCAAAGTTCCCATTTTGGTTGCCAAGTCATTAGTTAATAATTGCTATGGTCACTAAGTTGCTATGTAGCTAATGCTGCAAATTTTACCTATAAAAGCTTGTCACAAGCTGCACCAATTTGCCAAGAGTTTTTCTGGTGTTTGCCTACTCTTGTCCTGCACGTTTAATAACTTCATAATTAATTAGACTCAACTTGCTGGCATAACTTCTTCTCGCTTACTTGGTCATAACATTTGGAGGCCCCAGCAAGAAGCTCTCAAAGAAACCATCTGCATCCTCCCAGGAGGTAAGAATTTGTTCTGTTCACTGGTAAAAATCTATTCTGTTTTGCTTGTGGCCACAATTCTGTTTAAGGGAGTCATGGCCTGACAAGGCCACCCTTTGGACACTATTCATTTGGCCAAGGCATTGGCTGAATAGAATCCTCTGGTTTTCTGTCCTGAGGTTGTGCCAGGGATCTGTGATTTTCTCCCCTGAGGCTATGCCAGGGATCCATAACTTTTCTCAGTTGGTTCCGACATGTCTTGTTTGTCATTATGTTTTGTTTGTCTGTCATTTAATATGGTGTCACAGGCTTCTTGACCCTCTAGTTCCCTGGACTGTATAATAAAACAATTTTCTCCTTTAAACAACAGAGGGGAAAAAGACAAGCTTCAGGAACCACACTTAGCGCACCCCCTTCTGAATTGCCTGCAGGCCAGGCAATTCAATTTCACTGACATCAGTTTGTAATCAGCTATAATGCTTTTCACTGCCAAGTTACTTACAGACTTCAAAATCTCCTTTTAGGACCAAGGATTATTAATCCAACACAAGATAAATAACAAAATAACCTGGGTTTATCAGTTGTTGTAAATGTATAACTTGCCAACGTTTACCTGTTTTAAGTTCTCAATTTGGGCTACAACCTAAACGTCTCTAATGTTTTCAATTTTTCTTCAGACTTTGTCAAGGTGGCTATATTTCCTTGTTAAAGCACAGTTGTAAATGGTTTGCAGGAAAATGCTTCAACTTACGTTGATAAAGTAAAGGCTTTGGCTAGTCATGCATGTAGTTTGCAGGACTACTTTCACTTTCCAATATTGTTCCTATTTTTCCATAGTGTTCGATTTTTTCATCATTGCTTGCTTAATAATTTTGTCTATGATCTTGCTTAGCATTTTATTAAATCCAAATAATATTCAGTTAAAGTCCCACTGTTTCCTATTCATGCCCTTGGAAATAGATTATCATAAGAATATTTCCAAGAGCAGGAATAAAAAAATAAAAAACAAACCAGGAGCCAAAAGCCATTTTTTATCTTGTTCTTAAACCCTGCATGCATGACCAGTATCGCCACCTCCCCTCCATCATCTCCACCTTTGGCAACTTACGTCCACTCTTAGAAGAATTCAGTCTCCCATCTTCCCCTCTGGGAAGTTCTGCAAGGGGCAAATCAAGATAAGCAACCCTTCCTGATGTATATTCTTTTCCTAATCTCAGAAAAACCACAGGCTTTAACTTCTTTACTAGAATCAAGTCATGCACACTCATCGCTTCACCTGGAATGACTGCCAGCAGCTCCTTTTAACCCTGTTTACTTGTACTCAGAAAAAGGTCAAAAAAATGTTAAATAAGGTTTTTCCCTCCTCTAACCTAAACTGAGACCCTAACACTTTGACAGGGTCCAGGACATTAAAAATTTTTCACTGGACTCTATTAGTAGGTTTAAAGGGGGCAGCCCAAAAACCCATTAATTTATCTAAAACTACTGAGGTTCTCCAGGGACCCAAGGAGTCCCCAGGGGCATTCTTTGAATGTCTCCAAGAGGCGTTTCAAACCTACACCCTTTTTGACCCCCTGGCTCCTGAGAATGCTCAGGCTATCAATTTGGCCTTTGTGGCACAAGCGGCTACCAATATTTGAAAAAAATCACAGAAATTAGAAGGCTTTGCAAGAATGAACATTTCTCAGCTGCTTGAAGTAGCTCAAAAAGTTTACAATAACCGAGATGCTGAAAAACAGAAACAAACAGTACAGGCAGCTGACAAAGCTGCAAGAAGACAGACCAAAATCCCAGTGACTGCCCTCAGGGCCCCAGAAACTGGTTCCAAGCCTCCACGCCAAAAGTCTGATAACCAAAAAAGCCAAAAGGGTCAACAACTGAACACATTAAGTTAGCAAAGAACCAGTGTGCTTAATGCAAGGAGCTTGGACATTGGGTCAAAGATTGTCCCTATCGCCCTCCACAGAAAAACCAAGACCTGGACCCTAAGCCCATTCTCGTCCTGCCCTTGGTCAGAGGGGCAAAAAGTGATTCAGATGGAAGGGGCCAAGGCTCTTTCTCCTTAAGCCCTCAAGAGCCTATAGTAACCACAGCTACTGGGGGCCACCCAGTTAAACTTTGAGTGGACACTGGGGCAGAACTTTCAGTCCTAAAGTCACCATTAGGACCTATGTCTAAAAATCAACTTTTAATACAAGGAGCAACAGGAATGATTACCAACTGCAAATTCACGTCTAAACGAACTGTTCACTTGGGACAAAAGCAAGTAACGCACTCATTTTTAGTAGCTCCTGCGTGTCCGTTCCCTCTCATGTGTAGAAATCTGTTACAGAAATTAAGAGCAAGCCGGGCTCGGTGGCTCAGCCTGTAATCCCGTGCCTTTGGGAGGCTGAGGTGAGCGAATTGCCTGAGCACGTGGATTCGAGACCCGCCTGGGCAGCAAGACCTCATCTCTACAATAAATTAAAAAATCAGCCGGGCATGGTAGCGCATGCCTGTAATTCCGGCTACTCGGAAGGCTGAGGCGGAAGGATCGCCGGAGCCCAGCAGGTCGAGGCTGCGGTGGCCGGGAGCGGCCACTGCACTCCAGTCTGGGCGACAGAGTGAGAGTCCAACTCAAAAAAAAAATAGAAATTAAGAGCAACCCTCGTGTTTTCACCTGACAAAACTGAAATGTTTATTCCTACTGCATATCAAATGCACTTAACTGTTCCACTTTCTGAAGAATATCTTTTAACCTCTCCAAAGTCTACTACTAAAAATGTTCCATCAAACTTACTTCTATAGTTGCAGCAGGAGTTTCCTTCCACCTGGACAAAAACCAACCCGCCAGGATTGGCAAGCGTCACCCTCCAGTGGTGGTAAGTTTACTGGCACTAGTTACTCCTGTCCAAGTTTGCCAGTACCCTATGAGTTTGCAGGCCCAGAAATGAATTGCTCCTCACATTAAAAAAAACAAACAAACACTTAGCTGCCAACATTCTGACTCCATGCAAGTCAGCATGGAACACACCTTTCTTGCCAGTTCAGAAACCAGGAACTGCTGACTCCCATCAAGTTCAAAACTTAAGAAAAGTCAACAAGTGGGTAAGAACTATTCATCCAACTGTTCCTAACCTGTACACCTGACTTAGTCTACTTCTCCCCCAACATCAGGTATATACTGTGCTAGACTTTAAAGATGCTTTTTTTCTCTATTCCACTGTCTCTTGTCAATCTATTTTTGCTTTTAAGTGGACAAATCCAGACACAGGAGACCCCAGTCAGTTAACTTGGACATGACTACCACAAGGCTTCAAGAACTCCCCAACACTCTTCAGGAAAGCCTTGCAACAGAATTTGTTGGAGTTTCATGCCCAACACCCTGAATATGCTTTGCTTCAATACCTGGATAACTTCCTACTTGCAGGTGCAGACTTGAACACCTGTTTACAAGGTACTAAAGCTTTGTTACAGCTTCTCCAGGACCTGGGCTACAGAGTATCAGAAAAGAAAGCACAGTTTTGCTCTGCCAAAGTGTCATAACTTGGATACCAGCTGCAAGAGAGCAAGCGAGCCCTAGCCTCAGCCCGGAAAGAAGTCATTCTCCAAATTCCCATGACAACCACCAAGAAACAGGTATGGGAATTCCTGGGGGCAGCAGGGTATTGTCAGCTATGGATCGCAGGATTTGCCAAAATTGCCAAACCCTTGTGCTTGGCCACAGCAGGGGATCAACCCCTAAATTAGACTGCTACTGAGAAACAAGCATTCCAGCAACTAAAAACAGCTCTAACTCAAGCACCGGTGCTAGCCTTTCCCAATATTATCAAACCTTTCCTTCATTATTATCAAACCTTTCCATTCATTGTTCATGAATGAACCTTGTTCATTCATGAACAATGAGGAATTGCCAAAGGGGTTGTCACTCAGACTCTAGGGTCATGGAAAAGACTGGTGGCCTATTTGTCAAAGAAACTGGACCCAGTAGCTTCTGGTTGGCCCTTTTGTCTTCGAGTCATTGTGGTCACGGCTTTGCTGGTTAAAGAAGCAGATAAGTTAA